AGTTTCCAAGAAATGTGACTTGAAATAAATAGCCAAAAAGTCAATATCTGTATTTGGTTGAGTAGTCTTTGGGTGATACAACGAGACCTCTACCTTTACGAGCTCCTCGATAAACTGTTTCTACGATGTCAATCATCTCTTGTTTGTCTTCCATTGCCCAGTTAATTTTGTTGTTGTTACCGGTGCCTAAATCAATCATTATGTGCTTGTTTCTTCAAGAAAGGAGAAAAAATAATGATACCAATATTTATTTTATTGTTTTAGCATTTTCTATGCATACCTTCTAAAGTATTTCTGTATATATTTGTATACCCAGTGAGATAGTTATTCATACGTAGACAAACTTTCCTTTTTCCCCAGATGAACTCAGGCTGGAATGTTATCCCAATCCAGCGGGCTGCAGTTGACTTTAATAAGATCAGAAAGTAGTCGTGTCCCATTATTAATATTGTACATTTTATTTTTCTTAAATTATTACCAATGTATATTTACTGGAAATAATGCTATATTACCTGGCACGGGATGTACCTCCCCATGGTATACAGTCTCGTTTTGAAACTTACATTAAAAATATAACAAATTCAAATGACCAATTTAAAGAACTTCCCATATTCATATCCAAACAGAAAAGAATTCTACAAATTTATGTGTTCCTAGGAGTACAAATGACTCCCTTCTCTCCTAGGAATTTGGCCCACCACATTCCATCACACTTACAGAATGTAGTGGGGGTTGAAGTATTTCTCTTTTCAGAAAATAATCAGCTCTTCTCTCTGACTGCTACAGAAGGCCAATAGTTATGTTGGCATTTTCCTCTTAGTAACTATATACCGATTAGCTCTGTAAACTATATGCAAAAACCAATATATAATTCTAAGTGGGAGTGCCATGTTCATTGCAAACTCCATCAAGCTGTTTCACATGCTCTGTTTTGATCCCACAACAGTGCGTAATAGGAATGAAATATGGGACAACTGGAGATACACTAACTATAGGTAGTCCGAGTTTAACGACCACAATTGCAACCTGCAATTTTGTACCCAAGTGCCCCAATTGCTAAACAGAAAAACGGCGCGACCATGCTAAGCTTATGATCTCAGTTCCCCTTTGGGCATTATGTGAAATATCATGTAACTGTGATTTATGATTTCATGCCTGCCTTCTCCATTAATCCTGTTTATTGCAAGCCAGTTGCAAAGCATACCAACTGCTGTCCCAGTTGGGACACTGCAACAGTGATAAATTCAAGGATTGACTGCAAAGCTATGTAGTCCCGTTCTCCCCCCCCCCTCCAATTGTAACTTTGAATGATTGGTAAACCAGACAGCTGGCAAGCAAAGACTACTTATGGTAAGGGAATGCCATTTGCCTTACCTTTATGATGCTTACCAATGCTGGTTTGTTGCCAGCTAGTAAGCTATAATATCGGTTGCATAACAACATCAATCCCAATGAAGTTACTTCATTGTACCTTAGATTGTACCTTAATGATATTACACAACATACACAATTAGGCAGGAATTGTAAACCTCACCCCTACCCACTGAAAAAAAACCCTACTGAACATGAAGGTTAAAAAAGCAATGTAGGAATGAAAATATACCTGAAGAAGAACATGACTGTACAGGGATCATACAGTTCGTACATTTTGTTGAAGTCTGGTACTTCTGTGATATCTACGAGGTAAATTACAGCAAAATTTTTCACCTAAGGGAAAGAAGAATATATTTATAAATTATTTTCATAATATATTGTAAGCTTACACAGAAAGACATGCGTAGGTTTTGACCTCTTAGAGAACACAAGAACATACAGATGTACAAAACATGATGCTTGAAACAGGTAGCCACTACAGCTATATTTAAGTACATTCATCACCAATCTTGTTTTTAAACAACCATCTCCTAACAAAAACAGAGTTCAGCTCATTGCTTTTCCATAAATTTTGATATTAAGTAATACTTTTCACAGAAGTATCAGATTATTTTATACTCCCTTTTCATATCATACACTTGTGTCTTTCAGAATAAAATTCCATCAGTGAGAAAAATCACAGAAATTTCAGTAGTAAGCATATTTGCTGATATAAGATGCTAGCTTTTACAAGGAAACAAGTGCATCTTATTGGATATTACTCACCAAACACTTCACCCTATTTCTGGAAAATCCTATCTAGCACTGACAGCTATTTTTGCTTTGTTTTAGCTATTTTTATAATTTTAGGAGAACTTCTAAAAATGCAATAAATAAAAAGGCAATGAATGAAATTGGAGTATATATATTTGAAAGAGCAAACAAAGAATAAAGGAATGAATATTTATATACATTATTATTTAACTTACCACTTAAATTAAACCTCATATTTTGCTCATGCCATTATTATTTTGTAGTCTTATTCATTTTGCTAATACTGAATGTGCATTATATAAAATACACTTAGACAGTAATCCATTAGTTTATTTTAAACCGGAAGCAACATATATTTGACAACATAGAGAATCAAATATAATATATTCTTCCTTTCATGGAGGATGCCATTTCCTTTAAAGATCTGTATCACCTCTCAATCTGCATTAATTGTTTTTTTAGAACAATTTATTGTACAATTCACAAATATTTGCCATAATATGTTTTGTTAGGTAAGCTCCCCGTTGGGAGAGCGAGTGCATTCAGAGAAGCGTTGTGAGAGTTGTGTTGGAGAACACACAAACCAGCATACACTGCAGTTTAAATAGG